CAGCCATGAGGGGACCATGCTCATCATCTCCTGCACCTCAAAAATTATAAGACCTCCCCGAAAATATTGCCACACAGCAGCAGCCATGAGGGGACCATGCTCATCATCTCCTGCACCTCAAAAATTATAAGACCTCCCCGAAAATATTGCCACACAGCAGCAGCCATGAGGGGACCATGCTCACAATCTCCTGCACCTCAAAAATTATAAGACCTCCCCGAAAATATTGCCACACAGCAGCAGCCATGAGGGGACCATGCTCACCATCTCCTGCACCTCAAAAATAATACGACCTCCCCGAAAATAAGGCCAAGCGTTTTTTTTCGGGGATCAAAAGGAAATAAGACCCTGTCTTATTTTTGGGAAAACACGGTAGTGTTACCTTTGTTTAAGGTTGCATTAACAAAAGCTTGCAAGTCTGGAAGTGCATATCTCCTCTCTCACTTTAAAGTCTAAGAAAGCAGGGAAGGTCCCTTCTGAAATGCTTGCCACACCCCATTCATTCTGTGGGTGCAGCTGCCCGCTATCTGATCATTGCCTCCTTCTCCTCAAGTTCAAACAAGACTTGAGTCTGTGGTCGTGCCAAGCACTCACCTTTCTGGGGTACTTATAGGGAGCTGTAATTTTCTTCACGTGTCCTTGCAGCTCCACACTTAATTTATCTCTGTCTTGTGATTGATAAGCAGGCGTTAGGATGATGAATGCTTTGACCACCTACAGCCAAGTCAGGATAAAAGAAGATGAATTAGCAGTGGCTCTCAGATGTTAAGCGCCTGACAGATGCCCTAATTAATTCTTGAGTCTCAAGCCAAGTTTCAAAAGAAAACCAGTTATTTATTAGATTTGGTTTGGTTGGTTTGGTTTATTGGATTTATATGCCGACCTTCTCCCAAGGACTCAGGGCGGCGTACAACATTAAAAAAAAACACATATTACAAAAGTTAACAAAAAATTAGATAGAATATCCAAAAAAACAAATTAGGAATAGCATGTCGGCAGCTACTCGGGTGAGGTCAACTCTGTGGTATGTAGCCTATGGTTCAACTTTGACCCTGTTTCCCCATCTCCTCTCAGTCTGTGTCATAAACCACATTCTCCAACGAGGCACTTCTGTGGACTGTAGAGGTCCACACATCACAAGCCGGCTTTGGCAATCTGAGATCCGACCCTGGAAGAAGGTATGCGTGGAATGTGCTCCTCCTTTGCTGCCTATGGCAACTCGAGAGGAGACTAGAAATGCTTTTGCGAGTTGACATCAAGGTTTGCGCAAAGGTCACTTTCTGGTACTATAGGAGGAATGCTTAATAATAATGTTAGTGATAAAAAATGATAATACTAATAGTGATAGATATCCTGGGGGTGATCCCAAAACAACCCGGCCAAGAGCCACAGTGGTGCAGTGATGAGAATGCAGTACTGCAGGAGATGTCGTCTGTTCAGTCTGCGTTGTTCTCGCCTTCTTTCCACTCTCCGTGCTCTTGGATCAGGAGGGGGTGGCCCTTGCTCCTTGCCTGAGCTCTGCCTCTCATGTTCATCCTGCCCTTGTTCCTCCCTGTCTACAAGCTGCCCTAATCTTGAAAGGCCCTTCCCCATTTTCCTCCGAAGCCAATGAAGCCAGCCCCTCAATCTCTGTTGGCTCAACTTCCCCCGCAGAGTCAGACTCTGACAGGGGAATGACAATAACACACAGCATAACGGACACGTTACCTCTCCTCTGATGGGATCTGGGCTGCTAACAACAGCGGCTTCAGCTACTGCAGGGTGCTTCATCAGCGCGTGCTCCACTTCAAATGGGCCAATGCGATATCTAAACAGGAGAATACCATAAATCAAGGGAGACACTGTNCTGTTGACCTCATTGTTGAGGTCCAGCCCCGATCAGATCGAATGCATGTTGTGATTTTAAATCTGTCGTTTTTATTTTTTTTATTGTTTCTTTTCCTCTTTTTGTAAGCCGCCCGGAGTCCTTCGGGATTGGGCAGCCTATAAATTTTATTAATAAATAAATAAATAATAAATAAATAAGTAAATAAATAAATAAATTCTAGAGAAAGTACAAAAGCCCAGGGGTTTCTCCTCGCTGAAAGTTAGAATCCTTTCCCCCAGGTGCAAACAGCTAATCTGTCCTTTCTCAGAAGCAATTAACTGCTTAGCCATTGGAGAAGCGAGCTATTCTTCCCCAATCCAAACCTGAGATTATTGAGGTATTTAAAATCCACCTAGGGGACAATGCTTGGCGTGGCTCCTTTGGGGGAAACGGATGTGTTTGTTTGCACTCCAATTAAATTTATTTTTTCCCTGAAACGTAACAGACCGCTTTGTAACTTAATCCATTTCCCAGTTGTGGCGATATGCCCCACCGAGTGCGTTTCCTGCGGAGAAACAAAGCCAGGTCTCCAATGGAGGCGAAATTCCCTTCCGTTGGAAAATTGCTCTTCATTTTAGGGAAACGATAAGAGCGAAAAAATGGACACGGCAAAAGCAATCTCTGTGGGATCCGGAGAAGACATTCAGAAAAGAAAACGAGGCATTTGAGATGCCTTAGAAATTGAATACCCCGCTTTCCAGATTGATGTATTAATTTTTCTAATTGGCAAGGATGTGTTGAAATTGGATAGGAGTAGACATAATTGTATGCACAAGTCGTTTTATAAGCTAAAGAGGAATAGGACAAGAAAATCCTGCTGTGGATGTTACCTAGTCTTGGAATGAAAACAATGGTGGGATTCAGCCGGTTCGCACCTATTCGGGAGAACCGGTTGTTAACTTTCTAAGCAGTTCGGAGAACTGGGATTTGGAAGAAATCTTTTGTTTTTTTCCTACTCTACAGGGCTAATCCTGTAAGGAAGGCAGGAAGGAAACATTCTGGTGTTGTTTCTAGCCTCATCTTTATTGCCCTGCTTACAGAAACTGCCTCTCCAATTAACCCTTATTCCATTGTCACAGCTAAGGCGAAGGGCCCATCGACCTGAGTGACATTGAGTTATAGCAATAGCAATAGCAGTTAGACTTATATACCGCTTCATAGG